AAAAAGCGCTTCCCACGGCGTGATTAGACCCCGTTGTCGGACCCGCCGCCAGCGGAGCTCCCGCGCGTCGCGACTCCTTCAGCGGGCTCCTTATCAATCAAACTGTGGGACCGCGTCGAGAACACCGCGGTGTACACGGTCTCCGCGGGGTCTATTCACGCCCAGGGCCGGTCGCCGGGGACGGCCACCACCCGGACGGGCCCGCCGGTGCCGTCCTCGATCTTGGCGGGCAGGACGATGAGCGTGAAGCCCTTGGGCGGCAGCACGGTGGTCCGCAGGTCGACGTTCTCCAGGTTGAAGGCGTTGACGGCAGCGAGCGCGCGGTGCGCGAAGGGCTTGTGGTCGCCCGCCTTGCCCGGGTCGACCGACGGGGTGTCCACGCCGACGCCGGCCACGAGGCGGTCTGCCAGTGCGCGCGCCAGCTCGGGCGACAGCGACGGGAAGCTGAGGTGCTCGGTGTCGTTGCTGGCGCGGTCGTCGGTGGCCACGCCGAAGTACGCCCTGCGGTCGGCGTACTTGTCGGCCCAGCCGAAGCGCACCAGGACCACGCTGCCCGCGGCCACGCGGCCGTGCTGCGCCTCCCAGTCCTCGAGCGCGTCCGCGCCCAGGAACGTGTCGGGGTTGGCGGCCGCGGCGGCCGAGGCGTCGATCAGGACGCCCGGCGCGATGAATCGGTCGATGGGGATCTCGTGCAGCTGCGGCAGAGGGGCGCAACGGGGGTCACGGGCGAACCACAGGGCGCACTGCACGCGTCTAGCATGTAGACTCACCTTCCAGCCGGTCTTGTTGAAGTGGAAGGGGGCGTCGATGTGCGTGCCGAGGTGCTCGGCCATGCAGAACTCGTTGAAGGCGATCCAGCCGCCGCCAGCCCACGGCTCGTCCTGCGCCACCTGCAGGGTGAAGTTGAAGCCGCGCGCCCCGGGCCAGTTCTGCGCCCGGGCGTTGAGCGCGTGCGTGAGGTCGACGGGGCCCGTGAAGGGCTGGTCGGTGGAGCCGCCCCCGGTGGCCGGCAAGGACAACGCCAGGCAAGGGCACAACGCGACCAGCAGCAGCCAGAACACGGCGGAGGGCGGCATCCTGGACGCCAATGGGTCTGATGCACAACAACCACCCGACCAAGAAGTACCAGTCCGACGTGTACGGCCCCCGGCTATTCCTCTTGACGACTGACGCCCACCGAGCACACTTCTGCGGGCCGCGCGGACTCCAAACCCCACCACACCAGCAACGCCCCCCGACCTGTGCAAGGGCAAGGGGCGGTACTGTACCCGGGCTTATCAACGACGTATGGGAACGGGGACGTGAGAAGGTCGGGAGCGCTGCATAGTCCGCTCGC